ACTATTATCTTTGGGGCACTCTGAAAACAACAGTGTATGCTTCCACATTTAACACTAAGAGTTGCGGAAGCATATCCAAAATGCCATAAATATTTTAAAAAAATTGCCCTTAAGAACGGCAAAGGATGTCCTTTAACTTTCTTCGCTGAATTAAACTTTGTTGTAGATGGTCATTTTGAATAATAAGTTGTACTAGATTTAATAACATCAAATTTGTTACTTTTATCTCCAGAATTTTTTATTGTATTTGATTGTTTTTACGAATTATTTAAATAGTATTAGGCACGCTGTATATAACTTTAATTTGTTATATGTGTGTGTATTCCTATCGAAAAATTAAGTAACATGTGGTATATCTTATCGTAATAAACACTCATTAAGAATTGGCAGGTACAATGATTTAAAGTTCAAACCACTAGCACTTTGTTAAGTAGGTATTATAATATGGGTGGCAAAATAATGTAGACATTTAATCCAAAAACTTCCAAATGGTATCACCTGTCAAATAAAAAATAGTTGTCATTATTGCCCGAAAGAGAAAAAGTTATGTACGGATATTATCACCATACATCAATATTGTAGGAGTTGTAAGCTTCTGTTGCCTCTCCAAAAAACTTACTTCCCTAGAATTTTAGCATTAATGTTTCTTTCTTTTGCTATTCGTCAGGAGGAATTATGTCCCTATAACCGCATGTGAATAATTATTTGTATATTTATTTATTTATTTATTAAGGTACAGTATTCCACTGAATGTAATTACAGAATAGAAATTTCAGACATAAAATGTTAGTAATATACGAAGAAAAACACAAATACAAACGAAATGTAAAAATGTTATATAAAAATTAATATAAATATGTGATAAAGATATGTAATATTCATATAGGAACATCAGTGACATTACGCGTATGCATATATAGGGTATTCCAATTAAAACTTCCCAACTGGAAAATATCGGAATTAAAAAAAAACAATCAATACCTGGGACACGTCAATTTTCTTTTCAAGCAGGACACCTGATGGAGTAAGTTTTGATGTCTTGGAAGCTACCCCTTAGGCACGGGGTTAAAATACCCTTAAACTTTTAAATGGCACCCTATTTTGAGTGACACCTCATGTTAAAGCTTTTTCAATTCTGCTCAAGACAACATACGACTTTTTAATTTTGATTTGGATATGACAATAAAATCATCGCTTAAAGAATATAAATGTTATTTTTTTAAATTTTCAAATTGGTTTCCCTCCGCTTCTATACAATAATAAAATCTTTGCTCCACTTCCGGACGATCATTCTTCAACAATTCGCCGACGAAGCTCCTTAAGTGAGTTCAGTCGTATTGCATACATTTTCGACTTTAAATGTACCCGTAGAAAAAAGTCTAAGGGCGCAATTGAACCTCTGCGATCTATCCAGTGATTTAGAAAGTTCTGATTAAGAAAATCACGCACAGCTACAGCATATTGTGGTGGAGCACCATCCTGCTGAAACCACACAGCCTCTTCTTACAAAGCGTTGTCATTTTCCAATACTTCCACAATCATCGAGTAGATTTGGATACATGTTTCCGTCCAGATTTCCTGGTAGGAAGAAAGGCCCTATGAGGAAGATGGACCATTTCGAATTTAAAATGAAATTGAATGTAAAATCTGAAACAGCGCCCGATACGCACTGTGTTCTGGTAGTAGCTGTAGTCGCCCAGGTGTATCGAGTGTACGAAGTGGTCGGTTATACGTCAAATACTAACCTGGCGAGCTTTGCCGTCAATTAGAGAGCGCTTCCAAAAAACAAGTAAACA